CGTGGGCGCCGTCTGCGGGGACAGAGGGAGGTCTCTCCGGGCCTCTGAGCCGCGGACGGGCTCCCGGGCGGGGTGCCCTCGGGCACGTTTGTGGGAAAGTGAATGATGGGAAACTAAGGCCCTGGGCCCCACAGCGCCCGTCCCTGCAGCTCTGCTGGTGTCGGGCCAACTCAGAGCCTGCGATGGCTCCCAGCGGCTCCAGAGGAAGCCCTGCCCGCCCGCCCGGCCTCCCGGTGTCAATAAGCAGCCAGGGGCCTTCTGACACTAGGGGGCCATCCCCTTCCCTCCTGAGACACCCCTGCCTCCCCCACCATCCTCCACACCCACACAGGTCCGGGGGCTCATGTGAAGGCCAAGCAGGGGGCTGACTCCCATGAAAGAAAGAGGCACACGGGCCGGGTGAGGCCCGTCCCTCTGATTCCCAGGGTCTCGCCTGGTGGGGAGACCTTCCCCCAAACAACTGTGCGTCCCGCAGGGAGCCAGGGAGGGAGCCGGGCACAGGGGGCGCTGCCCGGGGGAAGGGCACCTGGTTCTGACGGAGCTCAGGAGGCACAGAGGGGACTCCGGGGGCAGGGAGGCCTGATAGGCAGGGCATGGCCGTCCACAGGGGCCTGGGGCAGGGAGGGTGTCGGGAGGGGGCTGGAGGGGGGCCCCTCGTGAGGGCCAGAGGGCTCTGCGGCCACCCTGGGTCCTGGGCCACAGCCTCGGCCCGGCCGCACTCACCGAAGACGCCCGGGAGCCGGTGGGGCTGCGGCAGCTCGTTGGTCTTCTTCAGCAGCCGCCTCAGGGGCCGCACCGCCCGGGGCGCCCGGATGGGGCCGGGGCCGGGGCCCGCCCTGAAGAACGTGACCATGAACGGCTGTTTGGAGCGCGGGGCCCGGCGCCCCCGCAGCCCGGCCAGGCCCGGGTCCGCGCTGCGCCCTGCGACAGAGAGGAGGGTCAGCGAGGCCGGCTCCGAGCGGGCACAGCGGCGCTGCGGGGCCGGGGGCCGGGAGCGTGAGGGCTGCGGCCCGAGGGGCCCCTGCCTGGCTGCCCGCACCCGAAGGCCGATCCACACCCAGCCCCGGCCCCGCAGCGGGCTGAGGAGCCGGGAGGAGCCCGGGACCAGGGTGGGCATCAGTGACGGCAGAGCCACACGGCGGCCGCCCACCGCGGTCCGAGGACTCCTGGGCCCGAGACCCCCTTCCCGCCTCCTCCCACCTCCGGGACGTCCCGGGACCGAGGGCACCGCTGGTTGGCGCGGCTGCCAGGGCGAGGCCCTCCTGCTTCCTGCCGCCACCGCCACCGACAGGCAGGCTCAGCGGGCGGAGGAGGGACCAGAGGCCCAGAGCGGCCTCAGCCGGGCCGGGCCGATCCCGGAGCCACGCTCTGCCCACGGCCCGGGTCCTGCTGGGCAGGAAGGAGGCCGCGGACAGGGCCGTGCTGGGGCCTCCGCCTCCGAATGGCGGGTCCAGAAACACGGGTTTCACCACGGCCTCTGAGGCCGCTGAGAAAACGCTCCTCAGCCTGCCACGTCCGGCCACCAGGACCCCTCCGCCTGGCCGCCTCCTGGCCCCGCGACCTCGCAATGCTGTCGCCGTCGCAGCAATGAGACAATGTGGGGAGCTTCTGAGGAAAACGTCCCTCGTTCCCAGAATTCACTGAGAGACTAGCTTATCGCCAGGCGTGTAGGTTACTTCCTGGCTCTCGTTGTAAAGAAGAGAATGAGACAGAACCTCTTCACTTTCTTTTCCTGTGGAACGTGAGCAGGAGCGCGAGAACCAACTCGTTTTTGTTTCTCAAACACAGTGACCGCCCTTCCACTGCCGTGTGCGTTCCCCTCAGCGCTGCACCACGGACACACACGGACACGCACACCCATGTCCACACACACACACACATTTGCATATACAGTGTGCAGCACTCACATTACAGTGTGCAGATGCACACACGTAGGCATAGACACTTGTGCCGTCAGCAGGTCTAACATGAGCCTCCAGTAGACACACAGGCCAAGGACATGGCCGGCCCCTCCCACACTCCTGCTCAAAGGTCAGCTCTTAACCAGCTGAGCTTTAGACCTGTGTCCACGGGCCTTAGTGAACCGAACACCTAATGAATCCTAAGACCAACCTTTGACCTATGACATCACCGCCACAGAACAAGGTTCTGGGCCCATCAGAGGCTCCAGGCAGGACTGAACCTGCTAAGACAGGAGCTGACGCTGCTGGCGCTGTTGCTGGAAGGAGCCCAGGCAGAAGCATTTGGGAGTTTGGGTCACGGCGAGTCGCAGTCAGGAGGATGCAGGGGAACAGCGAGGACACAGGCCACATGAAAGCTCTGCGAGCAGAGGGGACAGGCCAGTGAGGCCAGGACAAGGCGGCCACGGAGCACGAGCAGATGGCGCCTGTTGTCAGGTGGCACCGGAGTGGAGCTCCACGGCCTGGCTGACTCAGGGGGCGCCCAGGGCCCAGCAGCCCTCCAGCCTGTGTGTGCCGCTGCCCAGTCCCTGTTCCCTGGACAGCCCTGGCCCTGGGCCCGGAGGACCTGCCCTGGGCTGTGCTCACTGTTTGCTTTTCTTTGTGCAGCTGTCTGTGAGGATCTCATTGGGGCGTCCTGGGTGCAGGGAGGACACAGATCAACTAGGCAGCGCCACGGAGGCCGCCCATCCCGGAGGCAGCCTGTGGGCACGGGGAGCCTGCCTGAGGGTCCTGGAGCAGCTGGTCCTGGTTCCATTCCACAGAAGCAGGAACTGAGGCCCAGTGAGCAGCACCCGCTCAAGGTCCCCAAGCTGCAACCAGCCAGGACAATCCTGCCACCCAGTACGCCCCGCAGAGGCCGGTCTGGGGCAGGGGGGCCGGACTAGGGGACTGACCCCCGTTTTTCAGACGGTCTAACCTGGGAGGCCTGGGAATGGCCCCGGCCCCCCTTCCGGAGCCCAGAGCTCCTCTCCCTCCACCCGAGCAGGCTCCCCGCCCGCCCCTGGCCGTCTTCCTGGTGGGCCCTCGGCTGCCCACTGACTGGCCCCTTTCCAGAAAGGCCGAGATGGGCGCTTAGGAGCCTCTGGGCCTCTAGACCTGACCTGTGAGGTGCGGGCAGGCACGCTGTCCCCTGTGCAGGTGAGGGGTGTGCGTGGCCATGCCTGGAGCTGTGGCCTCGCAGGACGGGAGACGCTGCTCCTCTGAGCAGATGGGCCCCAGGGGCCTCCAGCCTCATCCACCTCTGAGCCTGCCCCGTCAGAGCCGATGTCTGGGCAGCTCACCGGCCTATCCTGTCCTCTCATGCGCCTCCCCAGCTGTGCCAGGCCAAGCTCTCCCACCTCCATCCCAGGACCGTCCCTTCCTGGGGATGAGGCCCCTTCGAGGCCTCCCTGAAAGGCCTTCCTGGACCAGCTGGAGCTTCCTGCTCTCACCCAGGAGCTCATGTGGGCTGTGCGCCCCCTAGAGCCATGCGTAGGAAGTGCAAGCTCCGTGTGTGTGTGTGTGTGTGTGTGTGTGTGTGTGTGTGTGTGTGTGTTGGGGGGGGGCTTAAAGCCGCTGCCAGATTCCCCCTCCCCCTCCAAACACACACATACAAACTCACTTTTCTCCAAGTCTTTGAGACTGAGGACTCAGGATGAAATACCTCGAACCCCTCTTGGATTGCAAGAGAATATTAGCAAGAGGCCGGTTCAGGCTCCACAGCAGGAGGGAGGACAGAGTGTCTGCTAGGACACAGGAGCACTGTGAGTCCAGGTGAGAAAACCATCGGAGCCATCGGTTAGCTTTCCAGAACGCCTCCTGTCACAGCCACAGCCTTGGCATCACACGGGCGGGCTGTTTATGGAGGAAACCCCAGGGCACCTCTCCCTGTCAGCTCTCCACACCAGGTCCCGTCCCTCCGCGGTGGTCCTCCCTTCCTCCTGGAGCAGCCACTGAGCGACGAGGAGGAGGAGGCGGCGTGTGGGGAAGAGGAGGTGAGGCTACGGGAAACTACATTTAGCCACAAAATGAAAGGCCCAGCAGAAAAGTCAGAAGGGCCAAAGGAGAAAATCTTTCATTAGCATGTCTTCCCACCATGTACTGACACTTATGGTCATTTTTGTTTTAAAATTTTATTATTATTATCCTCACCCAAGGATGTGTTTTTATTGATTTTAGAGAGAGGAAGGGAGGGAGGGAGGTCAGGGTGCTCACTTTATGTAGACAATAAATAAAGCTCTTACTTTACAATAGTTGAGATGTACAAAAAATTGCAAAGGTACTTATACAGAGAATTCCCCTATACCCAGACGCAGTGTCCCCTGGGAAAAGATAAATTTCAATTACTATGGTGCATTTGCACAACTAATGAGCCAATATTGATACCTTCTTACCTAAACAGCATGTTTTACTCAGGTTTCACTTATTCAGCTTTCCCCAAGGTCCTTTTTCTCTCCAGGATCCCATCCGGATCCCACGGACACTGAGCCATGACAGCTCCTCCGGCACCTCGGGGCTGTGGCCATTCTCAGGCTGCCCTGGCTTTTGATGGCCTTGCCAGTCCAGGCATTCTGCAGGCTGCCCTTCAATACGGTTTGTCTGATGTTTTTCTCATGGTGACACTGGGGTTGTGTTTTGGGGAGAAGACCCCGGAGGAGAAGAGCCCTCCCCTGCCCTCATACCCAGGGGACACGAGAGCCCAATGAGTTTCCACAGGAGCCCTGATGGCCTGGCTGAGGTGGTGCAGGTCAGCTTTCCCAACGTCCAGTCACCTCCCCTCCTGACACACTGTCCTCAGGGAGGCCCGTCACCAGGGGCTGCCCACACTGAGGCGGGGAGTGATCACACCTCCCTGAGGGATCTCCTATGGAAAGCTAGATCAGACCCTGCCGTCCTCCACACTGTGACGTTCATGCAGCTCCCTAAGCACTGCCCCTCACGCTGGTTTCCCCAATGCGGAGCGCCCGCTGCTGCCTCTCGGCTCCTCTCCTTCCAGCCTCTCCTGGACCCTCTGCTCCCACCACGCGGCCCTGTAGTCACACCCGCGATCTGGGGCCTCCTTCGGGCCCCCTATGCCCACTGCCTGGGATGAAGGAGGCTCCGCCCTAAACCCCTGGTGGGTGAGAGAATGCCTGAAGGCTCCTCCCACGGTGAGAAAACGGCTCGGAGGGTAAGCATCCTGCGAGGTCACAGGGAGAAAGCTGCAGGGCTGGGCTGCAGCCCGGGCCCTCTGACCAGAGCCCGCGGAGAAGGGGCGCTGCCCGCCCGTCCTCACCGTCCTCTGTCTCCAGGTAGAGGCGCAGTCCCAGGTCCTTGCTGCGGTTCAGCAACCAGTGGTCACTGGCTGCTGTCACGTCCAGCACCAGCCAGCCCTCGTCCTCAGCTCGGAGCGTCTGAAGATCCAAAAAGAACAAGTCAGACTCCCTGTGGATACGAAAGAACAATTAACCGGAGCCGCACCGCTGCCTCCGAGTTCCTGTGCCCCTGGGGACCGCTCCTGGGCGCCGACCCTCCTGGCCCTGAGCTGGGTGCCTCACTGCCTCTCTCGCTGCATCTACCTAGGAAGGTGCGCCGCCCCCGGGGACAGATGGGGAAACTGAGGCTGGGAGCTCAGTGCCCCGTCCAAGGTCCCACAGCCAGGACGGCAGGGAGGGGTTGAAGCCAGGGGCCAGGGCCTTGGTCCAGGCATCCTTCCTCTCGGAGGGGGGCTCCCAGGAAGCCTGTCTGTCCCCCGGGGCTGGGCCGGACACACCCAGAGTGACGGGGGCAGGGGGACAGGCACCTGTTGGCCCGCTCTCTGACCACCTCGAACAGGCTGATGTGGAGGGTCCTGTTGAGCAGGTGGGCGCTGGGCAGCTTGTAGATCCGGAACTCGGCCGCCGTAAGCGCCTCCCCCGCCGGGATCTGGGTCAGGTCGAAGTGGAACTCCTTCCAGTGGGGCTCCGGGTGGCCCAGGGAGCGGTCGAGCTCCACTGCAAGACAAAGTGGCTGCTGGCTCCGGCTCTGGGCTCGGGCTCCCGGTGCAGGCCCGGGGGACCAGGGGCCGGGACAGCCTGGGAGAGGCATTCCCTCCCTGGGGAATGGGCCTGCCCCCGGCTCTGCCGCCAGTGCTGAGAGGCCCGGGGCCCTGCAGCGAGGTGCCCAGCACAGCACCTGATGCACTGGGGGGCCAACAAGGACAGCCCCGTTTCTGGCCCCCAGCCTCCAGCCAGCAGGGCCGGCCCAGCCCCCCTCTGTCTCTGGCCCTCAGATGAGGCAGAGAGGACAGGCCCCTCCTCCGGAGACGGACTTCAGACCCCAGGGGAAGAGGCGCGTGGCGGCGGGGACATGACTGAGTGCTCAGAGCCCCCGGGTGTGTGGACGGGACGTGGGACGTGAGTGCTCACAGCTGACAGTGGAGCCGGGCCTGGGGGGGGACAGTGAATTCACCCCGAGGTCACGGGACAAGGATGCTGCAGAGGAAGGGGCCTCTGTGAGCAAAGGCCTGGAGCGGAGAGCAGACGGCACAGACAGGGAGACAACAGCCATGGAACACAGCGGAGGGCGCAGGGGTGCAGGGTCCTCTTGGAACAAGGGGAAGGAGGAGGGGGCCAGAGGGAGCGATGGGGAGGAACAAGCAGCAAGGTGGGAGTGACAGCCCCTGGGGAGGCCCAGTCAGTGCCGGGGAGGCGGAGGTGGGATCTGAGCGGGCTTCCTGGAGGAGGTGCCATCTGAACTGGCCCCAGAGGCTGGGATGACATCTGGGCGGGTGGGGAGGTGGCAGGGAGGGCATTCCAGGCAGAGGGGACATCGAATGCACAGGCTGAGTGGGCCAGGGCCACTACAGATCAGAGGGGTGGGGTACGGGCTGAGGCTGGCGGGGGCCTGACTGCGGAGAGTTGGTGATCCGGCCTAGGAGCATGGCTGTGCCTCTGGCGGGTGGGGGCCCGGGCTCGGGGCAGCAGGCAGCAGGGTGTGGTGAGGAAGCTGTGCGTGGAGGGGGTGAAGCATGGGCTGGAGGGGCCCCAGGTGGCTCCGCTGTGGGGCCTGGTCCAACACTCCGGGCGAGAGGCCGCTTGTGCCGAACTGACCCCCCTCGCCCGGCGGCCGGAAACGCCCGGGACAGTGTATTTAGGGCCGTCTCACTTTAGCCTCTGGTCGCTTTCAAACACTGCAAATCTGTGTTTCCGGAAAGCAGGGGCGGGAGCCGCCCAGCACCTTCCCCCAAACCCAACACCGAGATTTTAATTACATGTCTGCGAGTCTCTTTAAAAAGCCTCTCTGGCTACTGGGCCCCGTGACCACAGTCACCGCTGGTGGCAGAGGCGGATGTGGGAGCACGTCCTGTCCTCTGGTGGGAGCCTGGTCCGGTGGTGGCCGGGCAAACAGCTGTGCTGGGCGGGCCAGCAGGCACACGTTTGGGCAGGAGATGAGTGTTCCATTCCCGGACGGGAGGAGAGGAGAGTGTCCGTGGTCAGGCAGGAAGCGGGACAGGCAGCAAGTGCCCACGGGAGCCAGGCAGGTCAGAGACACCGGTGGCCCCGGGTCCTCCCGCACAGGCCGGGCGTGGAGGGCAGGGGCCTCCGCAGACACATGCATATGCTCGACTCTGGTGACGATTCCCGCGACTCAGGGACCACACGCCCATGTCCAGGCCCGCGGGATGGGAGAGGCCCAGGCTGCTGGCCGTCACAGGGGGCGGCACAGAGAGTGAAGGCTGTCGTTCCTTCACACCCTCCACCGGACCCTCTCCGAGCATCGCATGAGCGTCTGTCCCCAGGCCGGGGACTGACGGGTGGGCCGCTGGGACGCTGTCTGCAGGCCTGAGGCTGCTTTCCATGTTGGACCCGGGGACTGGGGGAGCCAGCCGCAAACCTGCCAGCCCCACATGGGCACCCAGCCAGGCGGCCTCCCTGCCCTGCTGGGTCAGGAGCACCTTGTTCACCTGACGGGGGAACGGACCCCCCTCCCGAACGTCCGGCCTGAGTTTTGATGAACCACCAGGAGCTCCAGCACAGAAAACTGCCCCCTGGCTGCTCCCGGCAAACCTTGGAAGATGATGAACTTGTAGGAAAAGAATGCTTTTCATCAGAAACAGATAAAGCTTTCTGGGATCTAGCATTACATCAGACATTACTGTAACTGGCCAAGGGGCGTGCCCCGCCTCTTTGCTGGAACTCTGTGGACAAAGAGTGTTTCTGAGGTTGCTTCTCTGGGTTGGGGAAGATACTTCTCCTCAAAAGCTGAGTGAAGAGCCGTGTCTGATGGGACCTGGAGCTTCCCCTGCGGTGGTTCCTGGGAGGCTGGGAAGTGTAGATGTCTGGCCTGCAGCTGGCACTTCTGGTCCCAGTCCTTTCCCTGCGTGGGCTCCTATTTAGTCCCTGGTCGTCGGTGACTGGGGATCCGAGGAGCTCTGCATGCAGGTCTGCGAAGGGCGTGGCAAAGGCAGGGATGGTGAGATGGAGCCATGGCTCTTCCGCTGGCGCCAGGGACAGGTGCTGGCCTGCAATTTCTGAACTTCATTCGTGTATCAAAGGGACAACATCCTGCCAGCACCATCAGGAGCTTCACGTGTGAGACTCAAGAGCCATGGGGGAGAAAACGGAGCCATTCACTTTGCGTTTCTGAATAAAAGTATGGACGAGAGGTTATAGAACTCCGAACGTATCCATTCAGCTCAAAGGCATGTGGATGGCTGCCAGGAGCCTCCGTTTCACCGGGCCGGCCTTTGTCAGGCACCTGATCGCCAGGGCCTCAGAATCCACATCAGAAAAATGTCCATTTGTCACATGAGATTGCAAAAAGCCATGTTTGCTGCTATCGCCAGCACTCAGTGATGGTCCAGCAAGTACCTGTCACATGTTATTCAAGGGTGTTCCCTTCCCAGGACCTCCTCATGCGCGGCCCCCACCTCCCCACCGCCAGGGTCCGGAGTCTCCCAAAGACGCCCAGCTCAGGGCGGTGCCCCTCACAATGCCCAGGGCCATCACCCCCATTCTGGCTCGGGCACAAAGCAGAAACGGACCTTTCTTCATGAAAGCGCTGAAGATTCCTTACCATCCAGCTCAAAGGACAGAGCTCACCGCACGCTCTCTGCTCCCACGCTTCCACACGGAGGGGGAACCCAGACGTTCTCACCGTGTGGGCTCCTTCCACGTCAGGGGACCGCCCCTTCCCCGCCTGGTTGGACTTGGCCTGTGGCTGCTCCCCAACCTGCTGCTATTGGTTGATGATCCTCAGAGGAATTTCTGGGAAAAGCCAAGGTCTGTACAACGTGACTTCTCGGGCTTTCCCGGTATAAAATTTTGCTGCTGGTTGTGGGGTTGGGAAGTTCATTTCAGGTCCCCTGGCAGGTTCAGACGGGCTGGGCAGGGGGCAGGGGGCGCTCCCTGCTTGGCCTCTGCTCTGGATCCCGGACCTCTGAGGTATGTCCTGCCAGGAGTCCTCTCTTCGAGGTGGCGCGGGTGGGGGATGGGAACCACTGGCGTCTGGAGCAAGGTTTCTGGGTAGTAAATTACTTCTCCCATCTGCAAAATCTGGGGGGCACATAATTCCCTTCTTCTTTTTTTAGAATATATTTCATTGATTTTTTTACAGAGAGGAAGAGAGAGAGAGAGTTAGAAACATCGATGACAGAGAATCATGGAACAGGTGCCTCTTGCACACCCCCTACTGGGAATGTGCCCACAACCAAGGTACATGCCCTTGACCGGAATCGAACCTGGGACTTTTCAGTCTGCAGGTCAATGCTCTACCACTGAGCCAAACCGGCTTTGGCCATAATTCCCTTCTGGGCATGTGACAGACGACTTCTGATTATGCCACCTTCTCCTGCACTGGAGGCTTTCTGAGAGCACTTGGTCTTTCCTGGTCACATCCAGGATATTCATTTACTCATTCATCCATTCACTCATTCATTTGACACATTTGAAAGCAGTGCTTACTGCAGGCAAGCCGTTAGGCCTGGGGAAACCGCAGACAAGCTGGACCAGCCTGCCACCAGCGAGTGCGCAGTGCGGGAAGTCAGGTAGCAAACAAGAAGTAAACAGACATGGTCACTGTATGTGATGAGCGCTGTCAAGGATACAGTGGGGACAGTACGGAGTGGGGGTGTGGGGCTCACTGTCTGTTGTAACAGTTTTAGATTATTTAGATTCAGAGAAAAGTTGTTGGAAGAATAGTACACACACTTCCTACATGCACTTTGCCCAGTTTTCCCTGATGATAACAGCTTACATAAGCAAACCATAGTGTAACTATTAAAACAGGAAATTGATATTGGTACAATACCATTAACTAAATATTGACTTTCCTTGCATTTTACCAGTTTTCCCACTAATGTGCTTTTTCTATTCCAGGATCCAATATAGGATGCCACATCGCATTTAGTTGTTTTGTCCTTTGTCACAATCGCTTGTCTTTCCTTGTCTTCCATGACCTTGACCCTTCAGAGGAGCACTGGTCAGTTACTTTGTTGCATGTCCCTCCGTGTGAGTCTATCTGATGCTTTCTTATTAGATACGGTTGAAATGATGGATTTTGGAGAAGAATGCCACAGAAGTGATGTCTCCTTCCAAGCACATCAAATTGTGGAACAAAGTAAACAATATATTAATGTGGTTAGGACTGAGTTATTCAGCCCAAAAGAAATAGAAATACAAAACTGAAGATGTCAGTAAAACCATCCTAGCAGGTTTGGCTCAGGGGATAGAGCGCCCGCCTATGGACTGAAGAGTCCCTGGTTTGATTCCGGTCAAGAGCACCTGCCCGGGGTTGCAGGCTAGCTCGATCCCCAGGAGGGGGCATGGAGGAGGGAGCCGGTCAATTATTCTTGATTTTCATCATTAATGTTTATATCTCTCTCTCCCTCTCCCTTCCTCTCTGAAATCAATAAAACTATATTTTAAAAAATAAATAACTGAAACCTAAAAGCCTACATTTGAATGGGAAATACGAGTTTGAGGTCATGATTTTTTCCTCGTAGGAAACACAT